TTGAAAAAACAAGGTCTGCATGGACTGTTCTTTCAGTAAGAGATTACCAAGGTATCCCACAATGGGACTGCCCTGTAAGCACAACAAGCCTAGCAGTAAAGCTAGGACCTTTTGAACTCTCAGGGTGTGAAAGACAAACCAAAAAGAAGGGTAGCAAACTGGTAGTGTTGTGTTCAAAATGCAGGAAGCATTGATGTGCTGGAAGATGGGAGCATGCAAGTATGCATCCTTGATGTCCACATAGTCTCTCTGATGGAGGTAGACAATGACTGACCTGTGGAATTCCATGCATATTGTTTGAGTGAAGGACTCCAAGATAAGGATACGTTGATATCCCCTTTAGCTTTAGGAATAGTGAACGGGTTCAAGTAAGAACCATGAAACCTCTCTGCTTGAGGAACAGTAGCAATGACTCTTCTTTGTAAGGAAGACTTGTCCGCGGGCTTGGAAACCAAAGATGTACAACTGGGTCCAAAGTTTTAACCTGAATTTAGAGGCCATGGAGAAATTGAAAATAACTCTTTATACCTTTAGAGGTAGAATGAGTTTTGCTGGGTGGGATCATAGGTTTCTTTTGTTGCAGTAAAATGTACTTTTACAATCAGTGCCTTATTTTAAAATTTGTCAAGGGAAGCCCCACAGAGATGTTCATTTTAATTTGTTACTTCAGCTGCAACATAAACAGGATCTTGAACTAAAAGACAACATGTGTTGTAGAGGTATCAGTACCAGCACTCTCTGATGAATACAAGCAGCACAAATGCCCAAAAACAATAAATAACTTGCTCTTGTTTGAAAATGTTGTTTATTTCAAATAAGTATTCTGTACAGCACCTATTTATGTAACAGTAGCATGTAAAAAGTCCTCATACAAGCCACACAAGATGGCCAAGTAGCATTGTATTAGCTCATAATCCATGCTGCCTCCAACACTATAGACAATAAAAGGCTTATATAATAAAGCAGTGCAAACAATAATGGTGACATGCATTAACTTATAGCAACTAATCAGATTTTAGATCAGCAAAACGTTTGGTACTGATTGGCTGCTATGAGTTACTGCACTTTACCTTATTGAATAAAACACATAAACAGGCAGGTTTCTCTGGTTGACAAAGCAATAATATTTATATATAGCCTGAGTTAGGTAAAATGCACATCTCATCTGAATTCAATATAAAATAAGTATACAGCATAATATATTCTAAATTAAACACATTTGTGAGGTACGTAAAACATACACACAGTTACAAAATGTAACATTGGGATGTAAAATGTGAAACATGAAACAAACACTATGCCAAACAGGAACTTATACAGAAGTTCATGCAGTAATATTAATAAAAACTTTACTTAGAAAATTAGGGATTAAAACTAGGTTTAAGTCTAGGTGTAGCAGGCTGTAGTTTTTTGTACTTTGATTTTCAAAATAATTTCTTTTCAGATTTTAATGCAACTTTGTTTTGCACATTTATAAAAGGCTTGATAAGCATTACAGTGCATTGGGTTTTGTATGCACAAAAGGTGACACATCAAGCCCAAGACTGTAGCACAAGCAATATTGTTCTATGCAATGCTGCAATCAAACAAGCAGTGGAAGAACTACAAGTGAACTGAAAATGATTTGCTTTGCTTTGAACTGAAAAACAGCAGCAAAGCATTGAAAAATTATGGCTAGTATAACTCAAAACGCTCAAATACCAGTGTTCAATATTCGAATATGGATTCTATGCACTTTCAAAGTATAAATGAGTCTTGGTGGTGAAGAAAACAAAAAACTGTATTTCTTTTAAAAGCAGAACTAGATCAATTATTTTTGAATGCAAACACTCTGAAATTCCAGGTTAGAAATAGTGCTTGCATGTGCACTTGCAAAACTTTGTGCTTCACAACCCAGGGGTTCTAGGCTTTCCACACCACCTTCCCTGCATGTCATCATTCTCTATATATGCATAAGTAGTAGAAAACATCACCGCATTAACAGTGCGGCTCCTCCCAGTCCTAGGTTTTCCCTATTTGTTGACCGCTACATAAAAAAACAAAAAAAAAAACAAAAAAACACACAACAGCATAAAATAAAAAAAAAAAAAAAAAAAAAAAAAAAAGGAAGGAAGAAGAGCAGGCACGAGAGGGAATTAGGTGCGGACAGAACTTCCCTAATGCCAAACTCCCACTAATGCCAATGAACAAAGTAGGGAAGATGACATGGATTATATAAAAAGGGTAACAGATTTGTAATTATGGATGGTGGAGTATGTACCTAGAGAAGTCTGTATTCAACAGCAGAATGGAATATGGATGAGTGCAGAAATTGACTAATTATATATGGAGGAAAGAAGGAGGTCCATGTAGACAAGACCTTTGTATATACGGAGGAAAGAAGGAGGTCCATGTAGACAAGGCCTTTGTATATACGGAGGAAAGAAGGAGGTCCATGTACACAAGGCCTTTGTATATACGGAGGAAAGAAGGAGGTCCATGTACACAAGGCCTTTGTATATACGGAGGAAAGAAGGAGGTCCATGTACACAAGGCCTTTGTATATACGGAGGAAAGAAGGAGGTCCATGTACACAAGGCCTTTGTATATCATCAAATGTGCTCCATATGTATTATAAGAATATATTTAGATTTGTAATTTCCCATATATGACTCCTTGGCACTTTTTGTTTTTCAGGTGATTGCTGCCTGTAGATTCTTAGATCTAAGATATTCTAGATATTCTTGTCATGCCTTTGCACCTTAGAAATGAGAAATGTCACTAATGTGGCATTAAATAAACAGGCAATCAGATATGAGAAAGATAATTTTTTTTTAAATACAGAATGACTCAGGTAGGCAAAATTAGGAACTGGAAAATCCAGAACACCTACACATGGAATTCTCGAATCACAAGTGGCGAAATAATCTGCTAATATCCAAGCAAAACTGAAATATACTGCCCATGATCCTGCCCATCCAAACCGGAAATAAAATCATACCATATACTGTATATCTTGAATGATGTAACAGTTCTCCCATCTGTTCCATAACCTGACAAAAAAATAACACCTTTCTTATATAAACTGGCTTCTTAAAGCTGGCCATAAAAAGGAGTAGAAAACCCAAAGTTCGGTCAAATGAAAAACGAAAATAGCTCATACAACTGTGCCATCATTTTTCTAGAAAAAAAAAAACCCAGCATGCTGGATCAGGCACTTTCGGTTGCGGCACAAAAATCATACATCGCAGCTGGCACACTAATGATGCAAAAAAATTAATGATTCGACTATCAAGACAAATTTTCGTTTTCAACTCATATATGGCCAGCTTTAGGGTTCAAGTCAATGGATATTCCAGTCAAACTATGTTTTCTGTTCCTATGCATTCTAATGGAAATGCAGCATTTGACTTGCTGTGCCTGCAGTTTAATTGCACCTTAACAGGCTAAGCTGGATCCAAAGAAATGCAGCCCACTGCAAAATAGGTCAAACCTTGCCTCTAAACAGTTGTGTGTACTGCTTAATCATCTTCAATGAGATTTTTACTGACCTGTGTTCCAAATGCCACGTCAAAACAACACCCATTGTATTTAGCCCTAAAGGAAACCTAACCGGATATTAGAGCTGCCATAGCGGACTACCCCTTCTGAAAACACCAGTTCCCTGGATGTCATTCCGATCCCACTTGTTTGGTGCTTTCAGTGTCATTGACTCAAATGGGCAACCAGGAGTTTTAGGAGGTGGAATGCAATGGCACCCTATACATTTCTCTCAGTATAAGTTTTCATTAAAAAGCCATTGTCACATGTAATTCACTCAAAGACACATAACTACAGCTGCCCAGGAAACCAATGAAGGAAAAAAAGAGAAGATCCAATAAGATGGAAAAATATAAAGGAGGGTCCAAGCACATACACTAGCATGAACTAGCCACTATGTATGTATGTATGTATGTATGTATGTATGTATGATGGAGAAGGAACATTTCACGAAAGTCCAGAAAAGATTTTGAAGCTTCCAATTTGCAGTGAGAAAGCCTAGCCTAGCACTGATGAGCATACGGAGACATGAATTGAATACACACCTTTTTATATATTTGTGCCAGGTGCACACAATTACAGCACGAAAAAAAAAAAAAAAAAATACTGTTCGTTTTCGGTTGTCCGTATTCTATGACCTTCCTCAGTTATACCAGAGTTTCCATCAAGACACAGATCTACTAACTCAAATACAAGAGGCGACCTCTTTCCAGAGACAAGTAGGAATCATTGCTTTAAAAGTCAGCCTGTCTATGGGAACCACAATAAGGTTTTCAGGTTCATAAAAAGGTAAATACTTTTAAAATAAAAATGATATATTAAAAAAATAAATAAAAATAAAGACAGCCTATTGAGAACCTGTGTAAAGTTGGTGTAATTGTATAGAAGTATTTCATTTACTTTGTGACCAATATCTTTTAACAGCCAGTGACACATTAGACTGACCAGTAAGCTCTCTAGTTCACACTAGCACCTACAGCAAATTCTCAGCCTAGCTCCTGTGCGCCAGGGGCGAAAAAAAAAAAATCCCTTTTGAGATAAACAGTTACAAAGCAATTCAGAACTTATGATCAGTATACTTTTCCTTCCAGACAGAAAGTCTCTATGTTTGAGGATTGCAGTGCAATACAGCACTTACAGCAGCTACTTGCAGTTCCAATCCATCCAACATCTAAAGACTACCAAATGAAGTCTACTGTACAGTATGCATTAAATCCATAACAGGAATTTCAGATAACAACCAAAGTCTTGAATGCCTTAGTGTTGTATCCTGTGTAGTGGTCTATATAAATATTACTGTGTAGCAGCCATCTATTGATAGACAAAAACCTGCTCAAGTGGTTTATCTTCCACATATACTAAGCTCATGTCAATGTAAGAAAACACAACAAAAATAATATTTGAACTCTTGCCCTCTTTTTATAACAAAATAAGTGACCTTTATGGAATTTTACTACATAATGAAAAATTATTTAGCTTGATTAAATGTTCTTCCTGTCATCCTGGTCACAAAGTGCAAACTTTTGCCTTAGGACCTCTGAAATGAGATTGATAGGATCTTCTTCTTTGTGCAGACATTGGTTTCGATTAGACCTACGAAAAAAAAAAAAAATAAAAATCATAACTAAATGACTCAAATACAGTATAAACATTAGCTCCAATGACAGATGAACATGATGCGATTGCATTTAGCCATGGTTTACACTGAATGTGACTTTGAAATCACGCTACTTCACTTGAAGTAGCACGATTTCAAAGCCGCAGGTCAGTGTGATTTCAGGTGCGACTTCCCTGACATCTGTGCAACTTCATGCACAGATGTCTATCCATGTAGCACATGAAATCGTTGAAAATGTGCAGGAGCCATTTTCAAAATTGGTGATACACTGACGGAGCCGATGGAGCACCAATTTGAACGGTTCCATTGCTGACAATAGGGTGCAACTTTGGAACTGTGAAATCACATGACAAGTCGTATCAGTGTGAACCAGGGCTTAAACTGCTAGCCATATCACTAGCAAATTATTCTCCTGATATTGTGAAACAACCTACCGTATATACTCGAGTATAAGCCAACCCGAATATAAGCCGAGGTACCTAATTTTACCACAAAAACTGGGAAAAACTATTGACTCGAGTATAAGCTGAGGGTGGGAACACCAGTGGGAAGAATCGTGCTTCATCATTGGTGTCAGTGGGAGGAATAGTGCCCCATCATTGGTGTCAGTGGGAGGAATAGTGCCCCATCATTGGTGTCAGTGGGAGGAATAGTGCCCCATCATTGGTGTCAGTGGGAGGAATAGTGCCCCATCATTGGTGTCAGTGGGAGGAATAGCGCCCCATCATTGGTATCAGTGGGAGGAATAGCGCCCCATCATTGGCATCAGTGGGAGGAATAGCGCCCCATCATTGGCATCAGTGGGAGGAATAGCGCCCCATCATTGGCATCAGTGGGAGGAATAGCGCCCCATCATTGGCATCAGTGGGAGGAATAGCGCCCCATCATTGGCATCAGTGGGAGGAATAGCGCCCCATCATTGGCATCAGTGGGAGGAATAGCGCCCCATCATTGGCATCAGTGGGAGGAATAGCGCCCCATCATTGGTGTCAGTGGGAGGAATAGCGCCCCATCATTGGTGTCAGTGGGAGGAATAGCGCCCCATCATTGGTGTCAGTGGGAGGAATAGCGCCCCATCATTGGTGTCAGTGGGAGGAATAGCGCCCCATCATTTGTGTCAGTGGGAGGAATAGCGCCCCATCATTGGTGTCAGTGGGAGGAATAGCGCCCCATCATTGGTGTCAGTGGGAGGAATAGTGCCCCATCATTGGTATCAGTGGCAGGAATAGTGCCCCATCATTAGTATCAGTGGGGGGAATAGCACCCCATTATTGGTGTCAGTGGAATAGTGCCCCATCTTTGGTGTCAGTGGGAGGAATAGTGTCCCATCATTGGTGTCAGTGGGAGGAATAGTGTCCCAACATTGGTGTCAGTGGGAGGAATAGTATCCCATCATTGGTGTCAGTTGGGGGGTGGAGGAATAGTGCCCCATCGTTGGTGTCAGTGGGGAGGAGGAATAGTATCCCATGATTGGTGTCAGTGGGGGGTGGAATAGTGCTCCATGATTGGTGTCAGTGGGGGGTGGAATAGTGCTCCATGATTGGTGTCAGTGGGGGGTGGAATAGTGCCCCATCATTGGTGTCAGTGGGAGGAATAGCGCCCCATCATTGGTGTGTCAGTGGCAGGAATAGTGCCCCATCATTGGTATCAGTGGCAGGAATAGTGCCCCATCATTAGTATCAGTGGGGGGAATAGCACCCCATTATTGGTGTCAGCGGAATAGTGCCCCATCTTTGGTGTCAGTGGGAGGAATAGTGTCCCCATCATTGGTGTCAGTGGGAGGAATAGTGTCCCAACATTGGTGTCAGTGGGAGGAATAGTGTCCCAACATTGGTGTCAGTGGGAGGAATAGTATCCCATCATTGGTGTCAGTTGGGGGGTGGAGGAATAGTGCCCCATCGTTGGTGTCAGTGGGGGGGGGGGGGGAGGAAAAGTGCCCAATCGTTGGTGTCAGTGGGGGGGGGGGGAGGAAAAGTGCCCCATCGTTGGTGTCAGTGGGGGGGAGGAATAGTGCCCCATCGTTGGTGTCAGTGGGGGATGGAATAGTGCTCCATGATTGGTGTCAGTGGGGGGTGGAATAGTGCCCCATCATTGGTGTCAGTGGGGGGTGGAATAGTGCCCCATCATTGGTGTCAGTGGGGGGTGGAATAGTGCCCCATCATTGGTGTCAGTGGGGGGGGGGGGGGGGGGGGGGGAGGAATAGTGCCCAATCGTTGGTGTCAGTGGGGGGGAGGAAAAGTGCCCCATCGTTGGTGTCTCAGTGGGAGGAATAATGCCCCATCATTGGTATCAGTGACACCAATGATGGGGCACTATTCCTCCCACTGACACTTGCTGACCCTTGTTCCAGTATGGTGCTGCTGCAGCCAGCATATGTGGTTGCAGCAGCACCTAAGCACGGCACACTTACCTGCATCTCCTTCACTCGATTTTCGCGGGGCCGCTCAGCTCCGCCTCCTCGCCGGTGATTGGCCGCCTGTGTGCCTTTCCTGAGCTACAGTTCTGGCGGCCAATCACCGGTGAGAAGGCGGAGCCGAGCAGCCGCGCGAACATCCAGTGGACGAACCGAATGAAGGAGCAGCCGCGCTTCCTGGACCGGATCGTCGTGGGACTGGAGCCAGGTAAGAGACAGCAGCCCCCTGCAGACGTTGACTCGAGTATAAGCCGAGGGGGGCCGTTTTTCAGCACAAAAAATGTGCTGAAAAACTCGGCTTATACTCGAGTATATATGGTAACCAAAATAAAAATGTTTTTTCAATACCTGCCAGTAGGCAAGGCATATGTTGTGGAAGGGGTTGACTACGCCGTTTTTTACAATCATTAATAGAAAACCCCTTTCAGAAGATGAAACTCTGGCAGTTTTTCCAAAATGTGCCATGTCTGATCAAGGATGCTGATACTTCAGTAATGTAAATAAATGGCTCATAGAATTTACCAATCTCTGCTTGCTTTCATTTTGTGGATATCCTTCAGAATTCCCATCATATCAGCAAAACTGTTGGACTTTGAGAGACAAACTGAGTCTTCATCATCAGACATGTTAGCCTCTATTTGCCGCTGGTGAGTAAACGAAGACTCCATTATTGAAGAAGTGGAATATTCTGACACATCCAGCTCATCCTCTTCGGTAATGTCACTAATTACAAATGAGGTGGTTGACTGAAATGTTGGTGCAAAATCAGCAAAAGGAGTACTTGTATCTACATTGCCAGGTAAAGATTCTGTAGAGCCTGAAGTTGCTGAAAGACAAGAAGTCAGATATTGATATCAAGAATAATTTCTGTGTACCCAGCAACAATTGGGTACAATTTCAGAAAATAAACAAAAACACACAAGCTATCCTTGCCCATATTAGACCAGAACTAGATTCAAGAGAATTTTCAGACAGCACATACCTTTGGGTCCATAACAGGGCCTTTTTGGCACGTTTTAGGTTGTTAATGTACAAGTCAAAAGTTGCTTTCTATCTTTGAAAAACTGCAGTTTTTCTGAACAAAATACCTAGTAATCCTGCCATGCAGGTTCTTGTTCAGGTGACAACATTTCCCCAATTGTGCTTCTGCATTGTCACCCCATAACCTGAAAAGCCTGAACAAGAACCTTCATGGAAGGATTACTAGGTATTACTTTAGTGGAAGCTGTAGTTTTCAAAAGATGGAAAGCAACTTTTATTTGTATATTAACAAGCTAAAACTTGCAGAAACTTTAGTGATGGGGTTTAGATGTACCATTGCCATTAGCGGCACATAACTTAACTTTAAGCTTAAGAGACACTCCAAACCTGAAAAAGGAAAATGTCTGTAAAATATTACATTGGGTCTACTAAATTTAGGCCTAGCCCCTAAGGATTACTGTACCATGTCTGGGTGATCAATACCTGCATTTCCAGAAACAATTCTAGCAATCTGAGTTCTTAGGAGGCTCAGCTCATCTTGCAAGTCTGTAGATCTGTTTAAAGACATGCCTGGTTTCTTCAAAGAAAATATTTTCTCCTCTTTCAGTTTCAGATTGGGGACAGATGAATTTCTCTGCATCACTAGTAGTGGGCTTGGCCTCCATTTGTGCTTCAGGGGTCTACTGTCACTCCTACATGCAGAGGGGAAAAAAAAAAAAAAAAAAAGGGGTTGTATTTTGCACAAAAAAAAAAAAAAAAAAAAAAAAAAAAAAAAAAAAACTTACATATTTAGTGATGTGTTAATATTATACTTACATTCTATACATACTGTATATGAAACAAAAGCCTAGAACCTGAGTTTTTGTTAGTCACTGTAAAATCTCTTTTTTCTGAGTTTGACGGATACAGCCTCTTCTCATTCTTGACCATAGGATTTATATAGGACACTAGGCAGAAAAACTTAGCACCGCCTATGGACAGTCCTAGTTGGTATAAACCCCCACACTTCTATAGGCAAAACAGTAAATAACAAGTAGTACCCATAAAAAAAAAACAAAACAATCAAGAAGAGTGACTATGGTGCTGTGCCTGTCAATTAACTCAGAAAACGGGATCTTACGGGGGAGAGGAAGAGGAAGAAGAGGAGGAAGAGGAAGAGGAGAAGAGGAGAGGAAGAGGAAGAGGAAGAAGAGGAGGAAGAGGAAGAGGAAGAAGAGGAGGAAGAGGAAGAAGAGGAAGAAGAGAGGAAGAAGAGAGGAAGAAGAGGAAGAAGAGGAAGAAGAGGAGAAGAGGAAGAAGAAGAAGAAGAGAAGAGGAAGAAGAAGAAAGAAGAGGAAAAAGAGGAAGAAGAGGAAAAAGAAGAAGAGGAAAAGAGAAGAAGAGGAAGAAGAGGAAGAAGAGGAGGAGGAAGAGGAAGAGGAGGAAGAGGAGGAGGAGAGGAGGAGGAAGAGGAGGAAGAGGAGGAGGAGAGGAGGAGGAAGAGGAGGAGGAAGAGGAGGAGAAGAGGAGAGGAGGAGGAGGAAGAAAAGCAAGAGGAGGAAGAGGAAGGGAGGTAAAAAACAAAACAAAAAAAACCTTGAAACCTAGGCAGAAATAACTTGTTTGCCTATAAAAGACAAGGGGTTTATGTCTAATAAGACTGCCAATAGGCGGTGCCAAATTTGTTTTCCGCCTAGTGTCTTACTTCTGTAGGTGGCGCTATAAACTCTACAGTCAAGAATAAGAAAAGGCTATGTCCATGAATGAACGAAAGAAAACATCTTAGCAAACCCAGTCACATGCGTATTTAAAGGATTAGTGCACTTTAAAACAAAGTGCACTTATCCATGCTCCCCTCCCCTGACCCAACCCCACAGACTTCTATGTGTCTGTCTCTGGCTTGGCACACAGCCCCAAAGACGTTTATGGGGCTGCAACGTGCAGTAGTGGCCAGGACAGTGAAGACTTGCACTGCAGGATGTAAACTGAAGCAGCAGAACTGCAGCCATCAGGTCCACTTAGTATGAATCTATGGAGGGGGGAAGGTGGGTTAGGTTAGGCCAGGGGAAGGGGGTAAAGAGGATAACTGCACTTCGTTGCAACACTATGGGCTGACATAACCAATACATGTCACCGGCATGTAAAGAAACCTACAGCTGCAAGAGCAGCCGTGAGTTTGCTTACTTTTTAAGAGCAGCTTGCCAGCTATATATTAGATGTGATCCAGTGGCTATAGAGACACGTGCGATTCTACAGTGCATTTTCATGTGCCTATTTCCTCCCCCCTTCCAGGGGGCCCAAACCCTGAAAAAGTCATCGGATGTCTCCACTGAGAGTACTTAAAACCCCTTGCCCCCTCAGATACGCACATGACTGCACATGTACATAAATTACGACTGCGTTTTTACAGGACGATCTAAAAAGGAGAAGCCGTTGAGCTCTCACTTTAGAAAACTTATATTGTTCTAATGTCTCCTGATATGAATTTATTTTTTGAATAAATGTTTTACCATAAAGGTTTATGGCACATTTTAATTTTAACATATCAGTTTTAGGCTCCATGCACACTGGGTGTTTTAATAACGCTGGTAACGTTAGCTGTGTAAAGTCACGTTAAAAATGTGAGTTTTTCAGCGGTTCTGAATTAGTGTTTAGCCACGTTTGCAGGTTTTTTATTTATTCAAAAACGGATTTCTGCGATTTACTGCGTTTTTCAGCATTAGACTGTTTTTACAGCTAAAAAACTCCTCTAGAAACCCACTAGTTTTGGGGGGGGTTTTCCAGCCAAAAACATTGATTACAGTCTATGTGTGCATGGACAAATAGGATAACATGCTGGGGAGTTTACTGGCTGTAAAAAAAAAAAAAAAACCGTCAAAAGCCAAAAACAGCCGCTGTAAAAACATTCAGTGTGCATGAGGACTTAAAACATAGTTTAAAAAAAAACAAAAAACACATCAAAATTACTCCAAACATCTTTCAAACAAGTTCATTTATAAAACTACAGTGAATGCCTTTCAATGAAAGATGAAAAGGAATGATAAATACCTGACTCTTGCATAGGTTTCATCATCATCTGCTGCAATCCATTTAATATCAGCTAAAGTGGGCACAAGAGGTGCATCACTGAAATACAAGTCAGAGGCACTCGGAAGAGCCTACAGAAAAAGACACACCTAATCAAATTTAAAATACACTAGCATTACTTAATATCGATCTCCTAGATTGTAAGCTCGAAAGAGCAGGGCCCTCGATCCCCTCATGTTTTGCATTGTATTGGTTATTGTTCCGTCACATGTTCTGTCCCCCTCTGTAATGTACAGCGCTGAGCGAACCATTGGCGCTTTATAAATACTGTATAATAATAATAATAATATCTATGGGACCAGTCAGGATAGAAATATGGACAATGCAATTGCCAACACATTTTAAATGCGCATACTCCAGGAGCATCATACCTACCCTTTGAAGAGAGTCTTCACTCCCCAGAGTCCCTGTTCCTCCCTGCACACTCTCTCCAACCCCCTCCTCCCCCCCCCCCACACCATACCACAAAAATTAATTTGTTTTTTTACAGTATTAACTTTTTTTCTGGCCCTGCCCCCGTCATTCTTACCTTGGCAAAAACTAGTGTGCCCCACTTACAGCCTCCTAGGATATCTACATCAAATATCCCAGGAGGCTTCAGGAGTGGAACACAGGATTGGTCAACGGGAGGAGCTGGCGCACATAATCATGGACTGGCTACCTAAATCCAGAAGAGGCAGTTGACCAAGAAGGCAGTGCGGTACCTGGGCTGTCACACAGCTGATTGCAGCAGTACAATACTGGATCCACTGGTAAAGGAGGGGGATACTTGAATCATGGCAAGCGCCACATAAGAGATTCAGTGGAGGGGGGGGGACCTTATAAGAAATTTGACTTGCCTATAAAATCTGCATCTTGGAGTACAGTACACAGACTGAATATTCATAGACCCTTGGTTATAGGCCGTTGTCTTCAGGTGACAGATTGGCAAATGCTGGGCATTTCCAGGGCATACTCCTTTAACCCAACCACACTCCATGTGTCCTCAGGTTTTGTTTTTTTTTTAGCAAGCAATGCAATGTAACAAGGAGGGTAGACTGTGCCATGTCCTCGTCCGGTAATTCCATATATTGGGAGTAAAGTCAAAATTCTTATTCATTTAATTACACAGTACAGGACATGAAATGAATGGGCTGCCTACATGCAGAATGCAGGTCGCAATAATGTGAACCTAGCTTTAGCTGATCTCCATGTTTCATTTAACTTTAAAAAGTTTATTAGGACCAAGCTGGTCTAAACAAACTATTTACGTCACAAACCATTGCAGTGGCTGAGTGCGCTGTATAAACTGTATGTAGCCCCATTCTCTGAGTACTAAGCTTCCTCTAATTGGCTAGGACGAGCTGATAACATCATGGACTCCACTGCAGCCACTGAGATGAAGCTTTGTATTCAAGACAAAGCTTCCACTAAATGGCTGAGCCTCAAGTTGATATAGAAGATTACCTAGCCTGTTTAAACATGAAACTCAACAGATTTAAAAAAAAGAGAGGAAAAAAAATCCCATCACATTCTTTAGTACCCATCTGGTTGCATGTCATCAAATATACTAGTACCAAGGTCATGACTCGTTCTTTACAGAAAAAAGTTGCTATTTAATGGTAAAATACACCAACCACACATTCACCTTTGTGCGGTATCTGTTCCACATCAGCGCTAAGACTGAGAACTGAGCGAGCACGACTGCTGATCACTACATTCTCTGTTTCTCCACTCTGCTGATCTAGTGCTTACTAAAGCGTTCGGCTAGAGAGAAGGCAATAGCAGCTGGCTCTAAGCTCTCAGCTGCACGCTGGGTGGATTCTGACAAAATGGTTGGGATCTTTCCAGAGCCTATAGTGGCTCTGCCATGTAAGACAACAGCGGGCTATAGCCAGCTGTCCGTTGATAGTGGGTCACAAAAAAGCAAAAGTAAGTGCACTCCTGTGACCTACAAGAGATGTATGGCCAAAATAAGCGTTGGTCATAGCTCTCTTAAGATATTTGTTTGCTCAAACCTTCTCGTTGATGAGTCACATGAAACATGATGAACTTTGCTGCACAAATAAGAAAGACAGAACATTCTCCCATACATATATTTTTAGATTTAAGTTGTATTCCCAAAAGATTACCTCAAAACATGCTCTTGGACAGGGCTTCAGAGGCAGGTGTGATCCTATTTTTCGAACTAAACTGCGGGAGGAACCACATGCTTTGTTTTCCCATACTGGAATGATCTGAAAAACATGAATAAACGTGTAAACACCATAAGTCTGCTTATATTTGAGATTCCCAAGTTTTTTGTTAATTCCATGTTTAATTTGTAGCGGCAACACTACAGAAGCCCTATGAGCACACAGATTGTTGCCACCATCAACAAGGAACCATTGGCGACTGCCAGGTTGCACAAATAGTATATCTATACGTAAAGATTTTAGACCCCCAAAAAAAGGGCACAGAGACATTACAGTAAATATTAAGAAGCCCCCCCCCCCTTTTTCTCCCCCAGAGTTCAGTGACAATTTTCAAAAACAATTTTTGCTTTTACTTATCTAGGGGCTTACTCACATGCTCCCCTTAAACTAACAGCAGCTGGAGGGGGTTGTACACATGCCACAGCAAAAAAGCTTGCGCATTCCACGGGGTAGTGTGAACTTTTCAGGATTAAGGCATAAAATCACCTTTCATAACATGTTGCACATTACACCCATATTCAGGGTGTAACATGTTCTGAAAGCACCGGCCCCTGCTCACTGCCGATCCTCCGCTTTGACAGCTAGCGAGGGATCTCCCCCCAACCCCAACTAGATGTCAATTTAAAAACAAAACATGGCCGTGTGGGACTCCGCTAGCCCGGCCTCACCACTCATTCACTGTGTCCTGTGAATGAGAAACTACATGTCCCGACAGCCTTGGCGGCTGTCTGCTTGTTGTTCTCAATGAACTACCATGTGCTGTGGAACACCATGGTAGTTCACTGAATCTTCCGGTCAGTAGATCTGCTTCCTCATACATCCCGATCTACTGATGGCTGGTGCATTGCTTTACAGGCTTCTGCAGCAAAAAATAATAATGCATATTATTTTTACCTGCAAAAAAAAAAAAAAGTGCATTTATTATTTTTTACCAAAAGGTGAACTTATCTTTTAAAACAGACAGTAGAAGAAGAGACAGATCACCCAATGTTTTTCATTATTAGACTGTTCTTTAAATTCTGCATTAGGAGGACCTCAAGTGGTCACAGAATACAAACAATAGTTGTTTTTGACAATCCATTTTAAGCTCCGCCCCAGTGGAAATACTGCTACAGGGCGGCAGCAGTGTGTATATAAACATGATTTTGCATTTCCAGGTAGGGGGCGGTCGCGCACCCTACCCACGCTGCCATTCCCAGTCGCAGCTGTTAGTCACCTGGTCCCGTCCAGTGATTGCAGAGGATCTCCAACAGGAGAGAACTGTTAGTAAACAAAACAGTTCTCTCCCCTGTCAGCTCCTGCACACTGCTTTGCATAGCTGTACTTACAGTGAAAACACACACACAGACCCTAGTAAACCAGCACACTGTTAACCCTTTGATCACCCCACGTTAACCCCTTCCTACCCAGTGCCATTGGTACAGTGTCAGTACTTTTTATTAGCACTGATCACTGTATTGGTGTCACTGGGGATGTCAGTGACACCAAGTCAGTTCCCCCCAGTGTCAGAATGCCTGCCGCAGTCCCACTATAAGTCGCTGATTGCTGCCATTACTAGTAAAAAAAAAAATAAATAAAAACAGCCCAGTATATAGAATGCCATTTGTAAACACTATAACTTTCACGTAAACCAATTTACATGCATCAGGATTTTTTTTTTTTTGTAGCAAAGACATGTAACAGAATACATTTTGGCCTAAATTTGACAAAATTTGATTTTTGATTTTATTTATTTATTATTTATTTTATTTTTATTTATACTGGACATGTTTAATAGCAAAAAGTCAAAAATATTGTTTCTCTCAAAATTGTCGCACATGAAAAAAAAAAAAAACAAAAAAAAAAAAAAACCTCACAACAAAAAATGCACAAGCGATCAAACACCATAGAAAGAAAGCTCTATTTGTGGGAAACAAAGGACATAAATTTCATTTGGGTGCAGTGTTGCATGCCAGCGCAATTGTCAGTTAAAGTAACGCAAAAAGTGGCCTGGTCAGGAAGGGGGGGAAATCCTCTGGAGGGCAAGTGGTTAAGCTTACTTGAAAAATCTCCTTTAATGCTGTGAATTCTGCCTGTCTGCTGGTCATCTCTTTCCACAACGTCCTGGATTCCCTGCATGTTTTGTAGCTTCACCTCAGCTGTTTACTTTCATTTTCTAAGGATTACATATGCCATGGTACCTTGTTGCCTGCAAGCAGTGATTCTTATATTGACTCCGTAAGTTTTCAAACTGCAATATTGTGTCAGGATAACTGGAGCAGCCCAATCAATATATTATTTTAAATTTTGATAAGCTATGCTGATTCTACTACATAGCATAAAAAAATACAATCAGCAATTCTCTTAATCTATTACAGAGAGATCTGAAATACTATTTGGGACGAGCAGAAAATTAAAAAAAAAAAAAAGGGCATTGCTGGCACTGTTGTGAGCCAACTACAAACATTTGCTGGGTTGCTGTACAGTTTTCACCAGCATGCTGACCTCTAAGTGACCGTTGTTTGAAGGGGACGAACAGCTTAGTTAAAGGGACAAACACAACACCAACATGTAAACACATGGGTCAAGCCAAGTTTTGCTCCTGCACACTTTGCTATATTAAATATCCTGCAACAATCAGATCCCACTTAAAATCAAAGCTGTTCTTTTAGCCCGGGTTCACACTTGTGTGCTGCGGTATATCGCATGTGATTCGTATAGAAACCACACCGCATTCCTGTGCAAGTCACATGCAAATTCTGGTGTGCTTTTATGAAACAGAGTTTAGGGTGGTTTAGGAAACAGAGATGATCAGCGGAGAACATGTTCTCCGCTGATCATCTCAGCGCACAGATGGCCAGTGTATGAAGGAGCGATCTCAGCCCTTCACTGGCGATCTGTGTTCTCCCTCCAGATTCTCCAGCTCAGAGCTGGAGAATCGGGGCAACCGCAAACAAAGCAGCGGTAATTTACCGCAGCTTAGTAAACTGTGTTTGACTGATCTCTTACTGTAATCTCGCGAGCTTACAGTGACAGCAGCCATTTTCCAGTGTTGAAAGAGAAGTGATCTACACCGCTTCATAAAAAGGCATTCAGAGGAGAACTGTCTTCTCCAAGAATGCCGGAGAACTGAGCAGCGGTCATTTACCACTGCTTGATAAAAAGACACCTCTGTGCGGTGTGATTTGAGCCATACATTTTGTATGGCTCAAATCGCACCGCATCCACACCAAAAAGGTGCAGGACCCTTTCTTTGGTCCACACTAGAATGGATTGCATGGGTATTCACACCTATGCGATCCGATTCTGCACACTGGTCCGTGTTTTGCAAACCGATTTCAGGGTGTTGTTCACATACACACCCGCAGCGGTTTGCATGCACGGGGTGCGATTGTGATGCGGTGCGGAATTCGCACAGAAACCGCTGCAAATTCTGCACCGCATCAGTGTGAACCCAGCCTCAAAGTGGTAGTAAACGTGTTTTTTGTTTGTACCTGCTCCCAGTTCCACTACGATCTCCAGAGGCGATTGGAAGCGAATGTTGTCTTCCCCCCCTTTCTCCCCGTAGTCTTCTAAGACAGGTCCCAGACTACAGGACCATTCACAAAGCACAGCGTTACTTGCGCATGCGCAGTGGGTACCCAGCTGTGAAGGCGCAAGCTGTCACAGCTGGGTGCCCACACTGAAGATGCCAGTGCTGGGGAGAGAAAACAGCTGGTGAAACGAGGTGGTGAGGACACCGCTGGACCGAGGGACAGGTAAGTGTCTGTACAATAAAAGTCAGTAGCTACAGTTTTTATAGCTGCTTTTTTTTTTATTCAACTGGAACTCTGCTTTAATGTAGGTAATGCATTAAGGTAAAGACCCATCAGACTTTAAAACCACTAAGTTATATGTGCATTTTTTCAAGTAGAAAAACTAAGTGGTATACCCATAAGCACATGCCACGGTACACCAATACCAATCTTCATGTTTAATCCCCAGTTTGTTTCTTCATTTCAAAAAATGTGGCAAAAAATTACATCATTGTGGGGCGTATACTTCCCCTTGTCAATGCTATTTTATTTTTCTTTCCCTTTATGCAGTTAAAAAAAAAACCCAATTGTGAATAAATACCACCAAAAGAAAGCTCTGACGCATAAAAAAAAAAAAAAAGATAAAAATTTAATGTGGGTGCAGTGTTGCATGACCGCGCAAATGCCATTCAAAGCGTGACAGAGCTTTTTTATTTTTGTGAAACAAAACGATAAAAGACAGAAAATTTTGGAAGGAAAATAAAAAAAACTCGGTTTCTGTTATAAAGTTTTGCAAATAAGTAACTTTTCTTTTTCAGGGATGTGTGCTGAAGAGGCTGCACTGATGATCAGTGTAAACAAAGCACTGACAGCCTTGATGGGTATTGGCTGTCTCTTTTTCACATAGACAGAGCACATGAGGAAAGTCCTGCCGATAACTGGCAAGTCTGTTTACATGTGACCAGCTGCGATTGGCTCTTTACCGCAATCAGCTGTGTCCAAAGGCTACAGCGGTCACAGAGAGCGCCTGATGCACACAGTAAGCACGTTCTGGGAGAACGTTTATAGACGCTCTCCCAGAATAAGAGAATGGCGCTGTAGCTGACTTATGACTATAGCGCGGTATTAAAGTGGTTATAGCAGTTCTTTGCCGTTTGAGAAAAAAAAAAGTCAGCAGCTATAAATACTGTAGCTGCTGACTTTTAATAAAAGGACACTTACCTGACCAGTGACCAGGCTGGTTCTTTGGTGGTCTTGAGACCCTAGCGCTGACATGTTGCAGCTCCACAGCTGGCTGCCCACTGCGCATGCGCGAAGCTGTGCTTTCTCAATGGTCCCACTGCCTTCTAGGGCCTGTGACATGTCCCAGAAAGTAACAGTAAGAACTTCTGGTGGATCGCTACCAGGTACCCCCCCCCCCACTCCCCAAAAAACAATGCAACAAAAAAGAGGAGGGGGCAGAGGGCACAAAGCAGAACTTTCCCTTTAAGGGAAAGCTCTACTTTCAAATGGACTCCCGTACTGCAGTAAACCCATCCCGAAAGAAATGTGGAAGGCGGTCGGGTCATCTCATTGGTTGCGGATTGGCAGTCATCCTGACTTGCACAGAGCATGGATCCGGTGAACTATGACCTCTGATATACACCTTTCTGGGTCAGCCGCACAGCAAATACTGCAATCATTATGCACTGCCAGGCAACTAGCATTTCCACCAATGCTCCTAGGTTACTGTCAGCTCATATGGAAGTATGGCCCCTGTACTGTAACATCCACGTC